ATAGAAGACAGCTGGGTTCCCATATCTGCTTCTGCATTCAATTTGTTTTTATCAAAATTTGTGAAAATAATATTGCCTCACAAAGATACATAGTTGGCAAAGGCTGGACCTTTCAGAAGGTCTTTGTGTCCCAGAGGGCATTGGAGCACTTTGGGAACCACTGCTGTAGAAGACAGAGGCAGTGGGGTGGATGGGGGAAGAGGTAATGGGAGGACTGGGGATTCATGGCAGACAGTCACATCCCAAAAGATGACAGGACCACAGCACAAAGCTCATCCTCTGGGGGTAACATCATCTCCTGGCTTGTACTAGGACCATTTTTTATTCTTATTTAATGTTCCATCTCTTCTCTCAGTACTTTACTCATACTTTTAAAATCTTAAGAAAAAAGTGCATTAAGTAATTCTAAAGAGCAGCTATTAAAAATGTGCCTGACTAGAGAGGTAAAAATTTTGTAGGAGGCCATGGATTTGGAATGGGCACCTGTACTAAGCCCAACAGACTAAGCCATTATAGACAATTCAGTAACTGAGCTTAGGTTGGTTACAGGAGACCCTGGAGCCAACTAACTAGTGAAGCTGTAACAATTTACTGGTTGATTGATGAAGCTGTAACCAGTGAAGTTGTTCTGTGTGCTTTCTGTTTTTCTATAAATGCTGTCAGATCCCATTGTTGGCTGGAGTTCTCTGTCCTGGCTCTGGGAGCTGCCCTATTCATGAGTCATTTTTGTTTTGTTTTGCTTGAACAGACTCTTATTACATTTAATTGGTATTAGGAATTCTCCTTTTAACAGGGATTGTCCCAGAGCACAGAGCCTGGCATCACTGATGACTGGCACTCAGTTTTGAACATGGTAGAGCCCAGTACTGGTCAAAAACCAAATGTAGAGGTATTCTTTTATTTCTGTTTGGTAACTTAAAATTTCACATAGAAAAGATCCTAGGAGTTTGGGATTTAAGGTGTGATGCTGTTTGAAGACTCAGGTGCCAAAAAAGTAGTAAAGGAAAATGAACTCTGCAATGTAGGTGGTTTTCAGTTTTGGAGATGTGTGAAGGGTAGAAATGGACATTCTACATCTAATCCATGTCCTCTGGGGAGGGGTCTAGGAAGCACTGATGGAGGAATATGCCATTGCAGCCCAAGTGTGGAAGCTGAGCACGTGTGACCTGTGTGAGATCGCCAGGAACAGTGTGCTGCAGAGTGGCCTCTCACATCAGGTACGGTGTGATGGGGCTGCCCTTGTCCCTTCCATCCTTCAACAAATGGGCAAAGAATGTCTACTGTGTGCACGGGGGTCTGTGGCGAACAGAACAAGCGGGGCCTCTGGTGCACGGACTCTTGGGCTCTGGGAGGATCCTCTGGAGCCTCCTGGACTTTCATGGCTGCTCCCTCACCCTTTTCAGACCTGTACTCAGTGACACTCTAAAATAGCCACACACTTGCCATCCTCCTCTGTTCCTTAAATCTGTTTTTTCTTTATAACATTTGTCACAACCGACACTGTAACATGTACCTATGTTTTTCTCTTGGAATGGAAGCTCTATGATGGCAGAGCCTTATTGCATGCATATCCCCAGACCCTAGGCACAGGCCTGGCACATAGTAGCCACTAAGTACTTTCAAACTAGATGATAGTATCTAAATTGAATAAAAATTCTAGGGATGGGACCCAGGTGTCAGCAATATTTGTATAGATCCCTGTGATTCTGCTGTGGAGCCAGAGTTGAGAACCCTCCTCCGGAAGGTATCTCAGTTCCTGGGACACCTCCCCTGGGAAATGTCACTGGTACAAGAAGAGGCTACCTCAGGCGCTGTACTTGTGGATGACGATACAGGGAACAGAGGCTCAAGATTCTGTGTGTAGTTCGCCAGAAACACCTGTCTGCTCTTGTCAGCTCACAGGAGGGACTTAACATCTTCACCTCACCTTCTCCATCCCCAGCAGTTCCTACAGTTCTTCCCTTCCAGGAAATCATAGGAATGAATGACCGAGGCTGTCAGGTGACATCCTCAGGGACACAGAGGCCAGAAGGAATTTTATGAGTCCTGCGGGGAGATGTATTTATGGGGAATCTGCTTCACGGGGACTAGTCTGTATGTTATGGCTAATGTCAAAGCTACCGTGTGGGTACAGAAAGTGAATCTATTTGTATTTTTCTTGGTCCACAGGAAAAGCAAAAGTTTTTGGGACAAAATTATTACAAAGAAGGACCTGAGGGAAATGATATTCGAAAGACAAATGTTGCTCAGATCCGGATGGCGTTCCGATATGAGACCTTATGCAACGAGCTCAGCTTCCTGTCTGATGCCATGAAATCAGAAGAGTTCACAGCCCTGACCAAATAGGTCCGCACTCGACACGCACCTTAACCTTTTAGTTTAATTTTAAGTCAGCTATGGCTAACAGTGGTCAAGATACCAAATTAGGGTTTTCCTCTGTGAAGAGGATGTGTCTGAAGAAATTTTAAACTTGTGATTTTGGTTGCCCTGTTCATTTTATGATCAGACATGCCCACTTCTGTTAGTATTTCTGAGTAAGAAATGGCAGCTTTTCCTCGGGCACCTGGGAGCTGGCACTAGTCTGTACTTGCTCCGAATTTTCCACATATTTCTCTTGTACCTGCTGAGGCTAAAGAGTTAGGGCCAGGATTATCCATAGTCAAATGCCAAGTGACATGAGGCCTGTGTGGTTTTCTGCCACTTCTCTCTGCAGGCCTTGCAGGCTAATTGGTAGCTGTTCATTTCGGCCTTTGGCTGGCTGGATGCCTTACACAAAATCACTTCAAAGCTCCCTTTCATAAAGGGGCTACTTTGAGAGGAATAGAAGAGATTCCCTTCTTGACAATTTTTTTTTTTATGAATTTCTTAACCTGTTTTATTTAGCTCTCCTTTCTAACTTATAAAATCAAGTTTGCTTATTAACATGGGCACTCCTATTCTGTTTTGGTTTCCTTGTCTGGAAAGTGTTTTCAAATGTGTTCTGTGAATCCCCCCCAAGAACAATTCCAGGGGTGGGGAGGAAATGGGGCAAGTGAGGCTCTGGGGGCTGTCAAAGTGACTCTGCTTTCATCAGTCTTCCACTGGGGCTACCACATATTTTCATTTGAAAACTAAAAACTTTAAAAAATACAGAACCAAATGATCTCTGTTTCTTCTGGTTTTAATATCCTACGATTGTAGCCCAATTATTATTTTATCCATGAAGAGTTAGGCCAGAGAAGTGAAATTTGTTTGCTCAGGGTCACACAGCTAATAAGACGACTAGAACTAGGTTTCCTTATTTCCAATCCAGTCCTCCCCCTGCTATTCCATTAGACTGCACAAATGACTTTTTCTTTTTAAACCACTGTAACCTGGTACCTTTTTTTCAAAGACAAAATTTCCCCCTTACCTGATATGAAGACTTCTTCAGAAGATGAGTGGTCCCAGGTAGAAAGCATTTCTATGACCAATCTGAAGTTAAACTTTGTTAATGAATTCCTCATCTGTGTTACTAGTGCCTAGTACATTGTAGGTGCTCAATAAATGCACATGGAATAAATGGATGAATTTCTCTTTTTGCAACTTTTTAAGGACCTGTGCTCTGAGCACTCAACAAAGTACTCAAAACTAGAAGAATCCTGTTTTTGTGTGGGAACATGCGTATTGACGTTAGATTGTCTTGTCCTGTGACTTTATAATGCCTGCCCCTCCAGTGGTCAACATAGCATATGAAACTATAAATGTAATCATTTTATTAGGCAAACATATGTGCTATATTATATAGCTAATTATGAAACTGAATAAAAACCCGTCATTATCTTGGAAATTATTTTTAAAAGCCTCCATTTGTATACATTCACCCTAACATAGCAAGTACTGTACAGTTTTTCATTGTAATTTTATCTGTATCAAGTATTTTTTTAATTATTAAATAAAAGTATGTTAGGACTGATTCAATAATTTAAAACTATCTCAAATTAATATTTACATCAATTTTTTTTTTTTTTTGAGATTGGGCATAATGAAGAGATATCAATAACTGTTAGTTTATTTTTTACTAAGACTGAGACATGGATGACATTCACTAGAAAAATTCAAATTATTCAAACTGAAGTTCATTAGACCTTAGAAGGTAAATCTTTGCTATCTTTTTCCTCTAACTTCTGCCTTATTAGGGGTTTATCAGCAAAGTTCCTCTCCCTGGATATTACATTAGTCTGCTCAGCCAATGTGTGTTGGTTCTACTGTCCTGCAATCTTTCCAGGCACCTATCTTCTGGAGCACTTTACGCTCTGACTACACTGTTGTACTTGATTGGCCTTTTTGGAGGTAAATTCTTTCTTTCCATTGTGTTCACAGTTGGAATCAAAGGCAACTGTACACTGGTTTCTAAAGGAATGGTTTTGAGGCAGTGTTAATTAGTGTGTTTTCCGTGTAACTTCGAGTTGTATGACTGAAACAGTCAACATCATTACTCTTTGCCTCATGCACACAAATCTCAGCTCCTGGGATGGTATTTATCAAGGCCCATTCCTGGCTTTTACTTTCCCTTGGATTAAACAGAGCTGAAAGCACATCCCTCCAGCTATCTCTTTACTTGTTTCTGAGTACTGTGCTGGTAAAACTATATTAGTGGTGCACCTGAATGTTCTATCCCTGAACCATGACTGTTATAAAGAACAAGTGTAATTAACTCCAATAAAAGGCACACAAATCATAGATAAATACAGCTCCGTGGAAATTTCTGTACCCTCAACCTCTAAAGAATAAATATTTTTTTAGTAAGATGATGACAGTAAGACTATGAATACATTCTGAGGAGGCTTTTATGTCTCCTGACACCAAAATGTAAATTTCTCCACAGTATGATAATATGCACCAGAAAATTTAATTATAAGCTGCCACTTCCTCTTATGTGTTTTCTCAGCACTAAAATTTTGAAGATGCATCTCTAATTATATTCTTGGATCTTGGAAATGATTTTTATGAGGTAAACACCAAACAACCACAAGATAGAGTATTTTATCAATTATTTTTACTGTCAAATAGGGCAAAATATTACTACTGCCAATATTATATATTATATTGTCAGTGTGGATTATCAGCTGATTTCTCTAATCTCCAATTAGTTTTCTTATTCCTGGATAGACCAAGTAAACTTCCAATAAAACAAACAAACAAAACATCAACAAAACATAACAAACATAATAAAACATAACAAAACATAACATAAAACTAAAACATAACAGATAAAATGTAAATTCTTCAGACTGCTTTTTAATGAACCTACCTTCCCAATGTTAAAAATCACTGAACTGAAAGATATTTCCAAATAGCCTTATTATCCAGACGTATATTGGATATAAGAAAATCAAGTCCAATTTGAAATTATTCTCAAAACGTAGCACATGAACATCACAAATTCTCAGAGCACAAATAGTCCTCTCTTAAGGAATATAATATTTAGCATAGAAGAATGTGAAATAACATAAGAAGGAAATCTCTTCATTTAGCTAAAATTGCTAAAATGCTGCTATTCTCAACCTCTAAATTCAGTACAGAGTCAAACTCATTTTCTCAAACTAAAGTACTACAGCATTATAAGTAAACCCTTTGTTATTGAGTTAGGATAGAAGGGAAAACTATAGCTTACAAAACAAATTCCTCAGAATAACATGAGACCATTTCACAAATCCTAGAAGGCACACATATTTCCTATCATAGTAAGTGCATTTAAGTACTTCATATTTAAAAAAGACAAAGCTGTACAGAATAGAAAAAGCATACATTTTGTCCATTAAACAAATTTACAACTCTTATGATTATGATTAGATATTACAATAGAACCTACCTAAAGTTCACATCTTAAGAATTATCACTCAGTTTAATAAAGTGAGCAAAGAACTACGTTCATTTAATAAGGCTAATAAAAAACATTTTTATATTTCACAGTAGATCAGTTAGTGTCTTGGAGTTCATATTGCAAGATAAAAAGGTATATGCAATATCAAGTCACTGTTTAATAATTCCTTTAAAGGTGACCCTGGGGGATAAAATCATTGGCTATACCTGGAGAGATCAAAAACCTGGAAAGCAACATTGCTCATTTTCAGAAATGTTTTAAAATTAAGACACTCCGAATTAAACTCAGTCTAATGCAAAATGACAATTAAAATTTTAGATCTGGAAAACATCTCAGAGGATCACTTATCCTAAGGTTTTCAAATAACAAACGTTCCATGTAATAAGAGGAATCAATGGAGAAAATTTAGGAACCTGCAAATTTGACTGGAATTTTAAATTTTTTTTGATTTAAAAAAGAAAAACAACTCTCATGGTACAAATTTGTTACCAAATTTTAATATATGTATTACCAATGCATTACTATGTGTTTTCATTGGTTAACCTAATGTTTAGTAATTATAGTACATAAAGTTTATATAAGGAAATTTATATTAATGAAAAAAATATGAAATATAGTGGGCTAGAATGTGTGCATGCATATGTATATAAGGGTTCTAAGATTTTTTACTTGAAAAAAAGGATTCCACTGCTGAAGTAGTAGTATGAAAACCACAGATAAAAACCTGTTTCTAAAATAGGAAACTACCAACAAGAGTAAGACACTTTCTCAAGGTTACACAATCATCCAAGTGCATCTCCATGTTGATGTGATAGAGCTTCCAGTATTCTGCTTGCATAAACACCCAGTAGTGAGTGTTTAGCTATTTGGTAATTAGCTGATCCTATCAGGAGTCAAGTTATTAGCCAGATATTTTTCCTTGAAATGGATTTTATTTTATTTGCATGTCCATTAATTTTTTTTTTTTTTTTTGGTACTGGGGATTAAACTGAGGAGTGCTTTACCATTGAGCTACCTCCCCAATTCCTCTTACTGAGACAGGGTCTCACTAAATTGCTGAGGCTGGTCTTGAACTTGCAATCCTTCTACCTCAGCCTTCAGAGTCACTGAGATTACAATTGTGGACCACCATGCCCAGCCCTATTAAAATCTTAACGTTCAAAAATTTCTGTCATCAATAGGTAGCAACTTAAATTTTTGGTACTTAGAAAAACAGGAATATTTGTAACTTGTTAATAATAGGTCAAAATTTGCATGGAATGTTAAAATATTTTTTAAAGGAGACTTCAAGCCCTAGTTTTACTATATGATGAAATATTGTTAAAATTCATATTTCTTAAGCAAAAATCTAAAGAAATGGTTGAGGTGCTAATTAAGACCATAATTTCATCATTATTATATTCTTTGGGAGATTTTCAAAGGAAGTACAGTGAAGCAGTAAGAAAGCCAAATTATCTTCTAGTTTTCTGAGATGTTTTATGTAAATATGGTGAAAAAGCCTCATCCTATTTCCTTATTTCTTAATCTAAGAAAATCAGGGACTATGAAACCCAGAGAGATGCCTTCAAGTTAAAATAAAAGCACCATAAATGAACACTGAATGACTTATTATAATTTAGAAGTACAAAAGTTAGTATTTGTGATGAAGAAAAATTTCCTTCTGAAACTCCCCAAATGCATGAGCATTATAAAAGTCAATTAGATCAGTTATCTAGCTTTGGGAATGCATTTCCAGGACAGCCAAGAAGGTTCTCCAGCAGAAATTAATTTATAAGGCAAAGCCCCAACTTTATAGTCCTTAACTAAACTGTATCATATAACCAAAAAAAAAATGGATTTTTAAGTAAAAAATAAAAAATACATAGTTCCAAAACACACTGAAGTTATATAAAGTTATGAAATAATTGTGGAACACTTCAAGTAAAATTGTAAAAGGAGCAATAATTCACCACAAGGGGGCATAATAAATACTCCTTAGATTCCAGCAGAAAGACGTTTTAAGTAGTAACATGCACTTTGATGTAGTCTACATTTTTAGTCATTTAAAAATTTCTCTCAGATGGCTACAACTTTTCAACATTCAAAGTTTATAAACCTAACAAAAAAGATTCCAGAATACTCATGCCTTGAAAACCTGTAGTGTCAAAAAGCCTCTGGAAATATTGCTGTTATCTGCTAGCAAAGGATTCAAGAGCAATTAGTTCTAATACACATTAGAACAGTTAACTAATAGGGAAGTATGATCTACAATAGTAGCAAATTTTAGTTTACCAAAATGGAAGACATGGGAAGTTTATTTTAAAAAATGGGACATATTGTCACAATAGCAAAAATAAGAGGGTGGGAAAAATTGCTTTTTCTGTATCGTTGCCACAATATCCCTTCATTTGTCCTCCATGACCACTATGTATTTGTAGCCCACAATAGCAAAGGAAGATCTCCCCCCATGGAAGGTCATGACCTAAGGGGCTGGCCTGCTTCATCAGCCATGTTAAGAATATAGTTAGCCATATCATCTTCAGTAGGTGCATCTGACACCACCCAAGATTCGTTTGCTCCAGTCATCTGCAGGCGACAAATAGGGCAATTCCTGTGTCGATCACTCCTATAGGGAAGTCAAAACAAGAACAATTTGTTTTCTTTCCTTTTTTAAAAAATGGATTTGTTTGAAATGTAATATATGCACATAAAAAAATAAACTAAATGTTTACTTGTATTTAAATGGAAGCCATTACCCTAGGAATAACTTCTTGGCAGTGGTAGGGGAATAAGGCAGAAGGAAAGGGTAGTACTAGTCATTTTTCTAAGTAATATCTTCATAACTCTCAATTAAGACATACAATTATGCTTAAAGATCTGACAGAAGGTCCTTTGGTTCATAAGCAATAAGATTTCTTAAGGAAACTATAAAAGTGGAGCATTCACATTTAAGAGATTAAATTTATATGCATTAAGATTTTTCTGATAGGCAGAGAATACATATATAATTACTTAAATAAGATTTTGTTTTCCAAAGGATTTTTTTTTTTTGTCAAATACTATTTGGGAAACTTTTCAAATGTTATCATATTTTAGTCAGAAATATATCATACAAGGAAAAATGTTTTTCTTTTCATCTCTCTGTAAAATCTGAGACCAAAGAGTAATGAAGCTATATCAATTGCTCTTTGGCTTTTTGTTCAAAAATTTAGAAATATGCTCCAAAAACAAAATGTGAGAGCTCCAGCTGGCATATACCATTCAGGTTATTTCTAGCTCCCCAGAGATATCTTATGAGATACTTATATGTGCTCTTCTGGGCACATAACATCACAATTTAAAAACAACTTCTGATTCTGGCCAACAAGAACCAGATTTATCTTCCCACTAAAACAATTAAAACATGGGACAAAATTTATAAAGTAGTGCTACAATATAATGTTTCATATAAAGCACTGGACATTAGGCAACACGAACAGTGGTTCCTGAGAGGAGGTAAGCAAAGAAAGAGGGCCTGGACAGATCTAGATGGAACCTGACAGACACCCCAGGTTGAAGAGACAGGTCAAACTCTGCAGGCCAAGGAAGCTAGAGTTCACAGGGCAGAATACTGGAGAGGAGAGAGCTACAGAGAGAATTCTGGAGTTCTACAAATAGTTTCCCCTTCAAATGAGGAAACTATGTGAGGCTGAGGATTTCAGAGAACAAAGCTTACAGAGGGCATGGGATACTGCTTGTTGCCCACCAGTCAGACTGGAAAACCACATAATTTTTAAAGCATTGAGTAGAGTACTCTGAAAGGTCTTTTTTCACTAGTGGGGCATAATTAGCATTAAACATTGATAGGGTCCTTCCTAAAAATCACAAAAGCAAGACCCAAAAGGATCAAACTATTTCCAAGTAACCTAATTATATTCCAGAATGAAGCTCAAGAATATTTATAGTAATACAAAAATATCCAGTACCTAAAAAGGCAAAATTCACAGTATCTGGCATCCAAGAAAAACTACAAAGCATATAAAGAAAGAACTGAAAAATATAACCCACAATGAAGAGAAAAAAACAATCAAAATAACCCAAAACTGACACAGATATTAGTGTTAACCAATAAGAAAATTTAAAAGTTATAACTATATTCCATGTATTCAAAACACTAGAGGAAAGACCAATTATATTAAGTAGTATATAGACGACTTTAACAACTCAAATCAAACTTCCAGAAATAAAAACTAAAATATTAAGGTAAACAAAATGATACTGGATGAGATTAATAGAAAGCTGGACATTGCAGGAAAAAAGGTTAGTGATCCGGGAGTCGCTTGGGAGGCTGAGGCTGAAGGATCACAAGTTCAAAGCCAGCCTCAGCAAAAGTGAGGCACTAGACAACTCAGTGAGACCCTGTCTCTAAATAAAATACGAAATAGGGCTGGGGATGTGGCACAGTGGTTGAGTGCCCCTGAATTCAATTCCCAGTAACCCTGGCCCTCAACCAAGAAAAAAAAAAAAAAAACGGTTAGTGAATTTGAAAAACATAGCAATAGCAACTATCCAAAATGAAACACAAATTCAAGTGGTCTAAAATATGGCAACTGGACTCCCAGAAGAAGGGAGAGAAAATAGTAAAAATTTTGAGAAAATAATGGCTGGAAACTTTTCCAACATTGATGAAACTACAAATCTACAAATTTAAGAGCTTGATAAACTCCAAGAACAAGAAACATGAGGAAAAAAAAATACATCATACTCAAATTTCTTAAAACCAGTGAAAAGATAAAAATTTTAAGGCACCAAGAGGAGAATAGAAGACAGTATCTCCAGAGGAAAAAAGGACCACAGATTTCCCATGGGAAAAGGATACAACCAAGATGAGGGTGGAACAACATCATTAAAGTACTGAAAATAAAAATATTCTCAGTCTAGAATTTTGTATTAAAAAAAACAAACTTTGAAAAACTGTTGAGACAGTCAAAAACTTCTACAGAATCTATAAAAATACCAAAATGAACAAATGAGTGTAGTAAGAGTGCAGGACATAAGATCTGATGCACATCTATTGTCTTTTTATATGCTAGCAATAAAAAATTTAAAATGAAATGAAACCTATTTAAAAATAGCATAAAAAGGGCTGTGGCTGTGGCTCAGTGGTAGCGCACTTGCCTGGCATGTGTGGGGCACCAGGTTCGATTCTCAGCACCGCGGATAAATAAATAAAGGTCTATCAACAACTAAAAATATATTTTTTAAAAATAGCATAAAATATACAATAGGGACAATTTGTCAAAGATATGCATCACTGAAAATGTAAAAAATTGCTTAGAGAAATTAAAGAATTCTTAACTAAATGAAGAAATACCTTGTGTATGGAAAGATTCAATATTATTAAGAAATCAATTCTCCCCAAATTGATCTGTTTATTCAACATAATCTCAATCAAAATCTTTTCAAGTTTTTTTTGTAGAAATTGATAAACTGATTCTAAGATTCATATTGAAATCCAAAAGACTATTTCCAACTTTGAGGCTTATTATAAAGCTACAATAATCAGGATAGTATAGTATTAGAATAAAATAGACAAACAGATCAATGGAACAGAAATGTTTAGGAAGAGGCCCATATTCGAACAAATGATTCCCAACAAAAATGAAGAGGCAATTTAGTGAAGAAAAAGTCTTTCAACAAAAGTTAACTCAGAATGGATTCAGATACCTAAATGTAAAATTTTTAAAAAACTATAAAACTTTTGGGAGAAGAGAGAGTATTTTTTTTTTTATATCCTCGGGTTAGGGAAAAGATTCCTTATATAGGACATTAAAAATCACTATAAATCACAACTGACAAATTTGACCTCATCAAAATGAAAAGCTTCTACTATTTCAAAGACATTCTTAAGAGAGTTAAAAAAACAAACAAACAAACAAACAAAAAAAACTGGGCATGGCGGCTCACACCTGTAATCTGAGAGACTCGGGAGGCTGAGACAGGAGGATCATGAATTCAAAGCCAGGCTTAGCAACAGTGAGGCAATAAGCAACTCAGTGAGATACTGTCTATAAATAAAATACAAAAAGGGCTGGGGATACTGCCTCCCCCCATCCACCCAAAAAAGAGACTGAAAAAAGCCACAGAGGAGAAAATATGTGTAAAACATATACTGTGTCTGATAAGATATATATATCTGCTATACCTCACACACACAAAAAAAACAAACATACAGATGGTAAGTAAGCATGTGAAAAGCTTCTTGATATCTTCTCTCAGTAGAGAAAGGCAAATTAGAACCATAATGAGATACTACTATATACCTGATTAGAATGGCTAAAATTAAAAAGACTGACTATAACCAGTGTTGGCAATATCTTGGAGCAACTATAACTCTTATGCAGTGCTGGTGGTAGTAAGAAAAAGTTACATTTTTGGAAAATAATTGGCAGTTCCTTAACAAGTTAACATACACACCTACTATACAATCTAGCTATTCTACTTCTATGTATTTTCCCAGGAAAAAAAATCAAAGTCCATAGAAATATTTATAATGAGCCAGGTATAGTGGCATATGGCATATACCTGTGATTCAGTGATGTAAGAGGCTAATGCAGGAGAATTTCAAAGCTGGGGCTAGTCTCAGCAATTTAGTGAGAATTAAAATAAAAAACAAGGGCTGGGATGTAGCTCATTGGTTCAATCTCCAGTACCACACAAAAACAAAACCCAAAAAACAAAAACCCAGAACAAATGAATAAAAAAACGAAAAACTTGCCTATGAATGTACATAGGAGCTTTTATTTGTAATTTATCCAAGTGGATGTATCTAAAGATAATTATATCAAATAAAATAAGCCAGACACTTCCCCCAAAAAGTACATACTATATCATTCCAATTATAAAAATTCTATGAAATCAAAAATTACTTTTCAGCAAATGAAAGCAGATTAACAGTTGCCTGAACTAGAGGAAAGGCTGGGAGGGAGGTTTTTCAATGGGGTGTAAGGTAATTTTGGGGGGCAGTGGATTTGCTCATTATCTTGATCGTGATCATGGTTATTATGGGTCTATATGTATGTCAAAACATCAAATTGTACTTTACATACATGTAATTTATTGTATGTCATTTATAGGTCCTCCAAAATGCTTGATTCTTATTTTGTAAAATAACAAGTTTAGCTAGCTGACCTAGCTCACCAAATCCAATACACAAAGACTTACCTTCTAAGCACATATGAATATCCATTTTGAGAAAAAGAAAAACATTTGATTTTAGATTAAAATCAGGCACAAATTTCCTTATAACAAAAATGTTAAAACCAAGCTATAGTCCCACATTTTATAAAATTTATGTATAAAAATATTTTTAACTAGCAGCAGTTATATCATAAAATTCAAAATACTAAAGAATAGAAATCTCTTATACTTAACTACAATACTTTTGTACTTTTCAAAGTTTATTCATATACTATCTCATTTGACCTTTGCCTATCCCTGAAGGCAGTAGATAACTTACCATTTATCAATACACTTCTGACAAAAGCTGTGAGCACAAGGCAGGATGAGGTCAGCCCGCCCATCCATACAGATACAACACTCCTCCTCATCGGTCAGCTGCTTCACCCTGCAATGTGAAAACTGAGCTGGGACAAGGATATTCTCTGTCCATATGATTTCTACTTTGTTTTCATTGCCTTAAAAAGCATTAAAGCACATATAAAGTACAATATGACTTATGTGCAAAGTTAATATGAAACTAAAATTACCATCTTTTAGGGTAGCAAATTATATTAGGGAAGAACCTAAGGGATAAATTTCATAAAGACTAGATAAAAGATAAATTCTGTGATTATTAAAGAAAACAAAACATGGACAAAAACTGGAATTATTCATGTCTTTCTGAAAATGCCCATTTAATCTACTGAATTTATACAAATGACTTCAATCAATATATTATTTATCCATCACATAGGATACAAAACAGTAAAGTATGAACTGTGCATCAGAACCTTGCACTGCTGATACTGATAGTGGGCATATAAGTAAAAGAATAGCTTAGTCTTAAGTATCAAATGCTATGGAAAACACATAAAGGATAGAACACAAAATCTCTGTCCTCAAAAAGCCTTTTCATCTTCTTGGAAAGAAAAGAAATGTTGAAACTTCTGCCTCAGCCACAGTTCAGAGTGCCCTGAACTGCCTTTGCACATAGCAATTTCCTTTCCAGGATGCACTATGAGTTTTGTAAACTTCAACCTTAGTAATTCAACTCAAAATATCCATTGTCTCTTTCTCAAGGAAGATTAATTGGGAGTACAAAATGAGTGATGGTAGAGAAAGCAAAACCAGTTAGGACCTTATTTCAGAAATTCACTTGGGAGATAATTAGGGCCTGGTTTAAGGAGCATGATAGAAAACAAATCATTAGGATGTGGTAATAGATTAAAATTAAGTGTTATACTTTAGTCATGGGGAAAAGAGAGCGGCCACTGAACTGAAAGGGTGAAATGGAATGAAAACCTAAATGAATATGAATCTGTTATATCTGATGATATATAGTCAGTTCAACATTCAAATGTCTTTTAGATCTATACCAGACCCTCATGAGTTAGAGTCTCTGATTCTGAGAGTATTAAAATCTTCATCTGGGATGTAGACTTGGGTGGCAGTTTCAGAGAATATAACTGAATCTACAAAGAGTGACAGAGTGTTCTGAAGATTAGATTTAAAAGTGAGGAGCACAGGGCTACAAAGAACAGTATTATAGAGATAAAACACAGGAAATACAGAAATAGCTAGTGGAACCTGTACAATGTACTTTTTTTGTTTGTTTGTTTTTTGGCCTTCCTAGCAGCACAGTGATCAGAAGAAGGAGCAGGGTCTTATTCTACTTGATCCTGTTAGACCACTTGTAAAGAATTAATTTTCTCTACCTCATACTCTGAACACAATATTGACCAATAAAGTATTGTCCAGGAAAACCTACAGTATGAAGAAGAGAGCCATATAAACACAGGCCAAGGAACTGGAAGTGCTTATTCTGGAGAACAGAAGATTCAGTGAGAATTTGATTCGTTTTTCAAATATCTGAGGGCTGGAAGAGAGAATAGAGTTTTTAGTGCAACCCCAGAGGGTCAGCCACTGAAAGCAAGGAACAGAATACTGCAACAATTTAATAAGAATGATAGTTAATTCTTTTAAAAATATTTTTTAGTTGTAGAGGGACACACAATATCTTTGTTTATTAACTTATTTTTTAAGTGGTGCTGAGGCTTGAACCAGTGCCTCGCACATGCTAGGCAAGCCCTCTGCCACTGAGCTACAGCCCCAGCTCTGATAGTTAACTCTTATAAATATACTATGTGCAAGGCATTGAGAAATTTATATCTATTAACTCACAAAACTTTCTCAACATTCTTCTGGGACTGATACTATTATTCTTACCTCTTTTAAAAGATGAGAAAACTGATGAAAAAGTGGATCAAGGATTTGAATACATATGACTTGGTAATGGAATCTGTGCTGTGTCCAGAGAGCCAGATTTTCAATACTTTGAGGAACACAAGGCAAAAGGGAAAACTTCATAGTAATTAGAGTTGTCTGGGCATGGAAAGGCTTGCTTTTCAGAGACACTGAGTTTCACAGAACTGCAGGGTTAGCAGTTGTCCAATTTGCAAGTAAAAACTGGATTCTACTTGGTCAAGTACGATTAAATAGAATCTTTCTACTCCAAGTGTTATCTCAGGGTCAATAGCATTGGCACCACCCTGGGTCTTGACAGAACTTTAGGTCCCTCTTCAAAACCACTGAAAAGTAAAGTTGCAGAAGTGTAGTACTATAAGATCTTTGAGGTTAGAGCATGGCTGCATTGACAGGCTTAAATATGTCTCAGTGATATCAATTTCTAATCAGGCATTTATTTGTTTAAATCTTTCTTCATCTGACATAGGTCAATATTTATACTTCTATGGGGTTACTGTGGGGATTTAATGAGTTCTAATATCCTGTAAAAATAGATGTAAACCATTAATAAAATCTTGCACCAGATGTAAAACCAGACAGTATAAAGAAAGGTCCCTTAAGATCCTCTTCAACTTGGAAAGTCTTTTTCTATGAAATAGTATATCAGGGTGTCACTGTGAACCAAAAAACAAAGGAAGAAGCAGCCCTAACTAACCATTAAGCTACTGAGTTTCCCCATCTCAAGGGCACATGAAGAGATAACACTTTTACCTCTTTCATTAAGATGACTACAACAAGAAAAGAAGTATTACTTTCTTTTAATTTGCTACCATATGGCTTAAATATATAGGTAAACACCATCCTCAGCTTTCAAAACACTTAAAAAAATTTGCCACTCTGAAGAGGGAGAAGAAAAAAGCAGAAAATTAGACCCCTGTCTTTGAAAAATTAACTTTATAAAGTAAAGGAAAGATAAGCCTAAATACTACCTACAACATTCTAAACCTCATTTCGCATGTCATTTGTCTAACAGCCTTAGCCATGAAAGCTACTAAAGATAAACAGGAAATGATAAATGGAAAATTTAACTGCAATGTAGCATTTGGAAACCAGTTGGTTAAGGATGGACAAGAAAATGCAAGTGCAAATAAAGCAATAAAAGAGAAATTCTTGATTATACACATTCCTAACTCTAGGAAAGGTCACTGTCAATACAGATTTCTGCTGTTTATCCAATATGACAAAAAGACAGGATGTCAACATGTGTGGACTCATGCAACTCTTTTTCCAATGAGGTATTTATAAATTTAAATTATGGTCATGATTGTCAAATGGCAACAGGTGGGAGCTTTCACAGGCCAAAAGCATAATAGAGAAGGGAAAAAAACGCTTTAGGTATAACGATAACATATTAGGCCTGAGTAAACAAGAACCATCATAGAATTCTCTGGCAGACTTCATTTCCTTCTGATAGTTCAGTACATGCAATACGTGAACCAATGACTTGTTCATTCCTGAATGGACTGCCATTATTTAAATTTTAATCCTTCAATTAGACACTTTCTGAAATGATTTGGCCAAATTCTTGAACCTAATTCCTTTAAAGGCTTTGACATCTAAGAACCCAAATTCTTATTAATATCTCCTTTATAATCAGATGCAAACATATAGAAAGTGGATTCCTAGAGACTGGGTTGACAGAAACATTACCTGGTGTGAACCACTTTAATTTAGCTTTAATTTGGCACTGAAAAAAGAAAGGACAAAATGATCCAAAAGTGATATGGGATATAATACCAACTGAGACAAAAAGATTTAAGGTGTCAGAATGAGCACCAGCCAATATATTAATGAGATTTCAGTGGTTTGTACAAATGGAAATAAGCAAAACACAGTGATTATGCATTATATACCTTCCCATCCAAAGACTAGCCTGACATGATGTTACAGAAGATGAGTTCTCATCAGCTTCTTCAGAGGTGGAGCTCTGAGCCAACACTCCTGCTGCTTGACTTGTGATGTCCTTATAAAGCTGAATAAACTGGTATAAATTCATGATCCGTGATGCTTCCACAATGCCAGTGCTTTTGTTAATCTAAAAATACAAAGAAATGAAGGGAAAAAAAAAAGTGTGTGGGGGGGAACCACAAATATTTAGTCCAAATATCCTAGGAAACAGAGGTTTTTTTCTTTTTAAAAAAATTTTTTTTTAAATTGATTTAAAAAAAAAAATAAATGACAGTGGAATGCATTACAATTCTTATTACACATATACAGCACAATTTTTCATATCTCTGGTTGTATATAAAGTATGTCGACACCAATTCGTGTCTTCATACATGTACTTTGGATAATGATGTCCATCATTCCACCATCCTTTGCTAACACCCTGCCCCCTCTCTTTCCCTCCCACCCCTCTGCTCTATCTAGAATTCATTATTCCTCCCATGCTCCCCCTCCCTACTGCACTATGAGTCAGCCTCCTTATATCAGAGAAAACATTCAGCATTTGTTTTGGGATTGGCTAACTTCACTTAGCATTATCTTCTCTAATGCCATCCATTTACCAAAACAGAGGTTTTCGATATTTGTAAATTATTTGAGAAAGGGTCTGTGTAAATGAATAATACCATGTCCCTTTCATTTGTGGGTGTTGAAAATATATATACAAATGTATTGTATTTGATACATCTTATTTGAACACTCTTATTGTTGTAAGGACAGACAAGGCAAAGCACCAAAGTTAGCAGCAGGAAACAGTTTTATTTGGCTGCAGCCAGGTTCAGAGGGCACAGCTTTTGCATTAATCAATCAATCCCCTGAACCCTGAGTTCAGGTGGTTTCAGAATTTTATACCCAACATGTAAGGGGAGGGGCTCAGAAGTTCACATAAAAGAGGCTTTTTCTTTCACTGTTCTGGGCACATTAACCCTTCAAGGACAACACCTGAGAAGGGGAGAGCTTCTTCTCTCCTTTCTTTCCTCCCCCTGCTAGCTGTTACCATGGAGCCCACCTGGTAATTTCTCTTATCTTAGAAATGTAGACATCTCTGTGAAGCTCCAGCTCAAGGTCAGAGGCCTTGTTTGCACATCTACAAACTACTATACTGGATAAATGTGAAAAACTAGTAATGGGGTGTCCAACATCTGGAGTGCTGATTTCTTCCTGGCCAGTGGCCAAGTAAAATAGGGCAACACAAAAATAGGAAGTTTATCTACATTGAACTCTTTTGTAGAGACTCTTTTGCTGACAGTCCTAAAATCAGCCATGGTGAAGATTTCTGGAGAAGCCCAGTTAAGACTTTTTGTGGAGGAGAGGGTGCCACTGCATTATTATGTAAGATTGATTAGGCGATCATCTTATTAACAATTGATGAGGTTAAGTGAATTTTCCAGAGTTAAGAAATTAATTTTAGAGATTAATATTCACAATTCTTTCATTTTTACTTCTTAATTAAAGAACTTAAAATTAAGAGATTTACTTGAATCCAACAACCATATGCCATTCTACTATGACTAAAACAACTGAGTACTTAAGTTCTGCTCTGTACCCAAAGTTCTAAACTAAGGAAAATTACATTAAATACTAACAAAGAGTAGTTGAATTTTGAGCTTTAGCTCAAATGATAAATTCATCTTTACTAACTGGAAAGTTTATTGATTTTTTGGAAGGTAAGATCTATGTGGAGATGCAAATATATAATAAAAGACTGTACATGGAGAACAAATAAATAGAATTAAAAGGGACAGAAATTTATCAGTTTATAGAATAGGCCTTCACAGCTGGAGAAAGTAGGCCAGTCTTCCTTTGGAACTATAAAGTACAGAAGAAATTATGGAAAAATTTATATAAGCTTAGTACCATATTAGCAAAGTTTATCACACTAACTATTCCTATCATAGGATTCCTGCAGCCGGGTAGCTGGATGTCATGTGCCTATAGTCTCAGCTGCTTAGGAAACTGAGGCAGGAGGATCATTTCAGCCCAGGAGTTTGAGATAAACACAGTGAGAACACATCAAAAAAAAAAAAAAAAAAGAAAAGAAAAATATTTATATTTATTACATTTACTGATGCAGATTTTATAGTATTATGTACACCAGATACTAAAAATATAGGTATTAAAGACATAATGTGTATAAAACAAAAAATTGCCCTCATGCAAGTTATAAGATAGGTAGGCAATACGGGCAGAATACAGATTAGGTTAGATGGACATCAATGTTGTGGATAAGATGAAACAGGGAGGAGGAATGTTGAGGGGTTGGAGGGAAGATCTCACAGTGAAGGTGACATTTAAGAACTTGAAAAAGTACAGGAATGAATCATATATGGATAGCTGTGGGTCATTTCTGGAAGTTTAAAAGCTGTTAGGCAGATGTATACCAAGCGAGGAGCACAAGGAGCCCAGAGTGCTTGAAGCAGAATGAGAGGGAGGATTGGCAGAAGATAAGGTTAGAGAGTAAAGTAAGGATAGAATATATAGAACTTTGTTGACTAAAATGAATTGACTTTTATTCCACATGCATGGGAAGTACTGGAAGGCTTTGAGCCAAGAAGTAATATGATCTGCTTTACATTTTAAATTGTGATGTTTAATAGACTAGTTGTTGTGCTGAAAATGGGCACAGCAGAGAAAGAGCAGGAGCAGGGAGACCAATTAGGAGACAAGTGGAATAATCCTGGTGAGAGGTGATGATCACTAGGGATAGAGTGGGAATAGAGTGTATATGGTAACAACTTGTTAGGTTCTGAATGTATTTTGAAGACAAAACTAACAGGACTCATTTATGAATGGTCTCTGAAAATGAGTGAAAACAAGAAAATTCAAGGACAATTAAAATTTTAGTCTAAATATCAAGAATGATGAAACATATAATTCATGAAGTTTCCTGATAGCCACTGCATCTGGATCTGCAAAAGACTTATGATCACCCAACATATGCTGAGTTCCCATCAGATGCAAAGCACTGGATTACATCAGTAAGGCATAAAAGGATTAGTCCCTGCCCTTAGAAGCTTACTATCTAATTTTCAAGCCAAGAACCTAATTATTTTATTCTTAATGCTGAATTTAATTATGAAGTATAAATAAAGTGCTGCTGGAATTTAGAAGAGGAAAAGAATTCCTGTTAGGGAAGTTTTTATGGAAGACTTTATAAAAGATGGTGGCTAAGGTGGACCTTTAAGAGACATCAAGTTTAGACATGGAGAAACAAAAGATGTGTCAGAAACAGTTGGCTGATATCCAAGCAGCATTTCCGCTTTGCATCACTGGGAGAGCCTGATTTTATTTTGGCATTCGTAACCCCCTAAAATGACTCAGGAGTCAATACTAACTAGTATAATCTAAACTAGTCATGAGAAGCACATTCTTCCTGCTAATGTATGTGTATGAAGGGAATATGAACCCTAGGGTTCTTTATGAGTTGGTCAGGAGTGGACTTAAAGGCATTTTTAATGTCCAACTTATAGTGTATATGCAAATGGACAATTTAATTGCATCTTTGTTTTAGAACAGAGGTTAGGACTTAAGGAAGACCAGTGAAATCCTTACCTTTCATTCACATGTCTATGGCTTCAAGAAGTTAAGAGTTGCCTATTCTAATCTACTCATTGACAGCTATCACTGTATTTTTAGCTGAGTTGAAATATTCAATTATCTAAAATGTAAAGACTTAACTATAGGACAGTGTATTGATGGTGAAAAATCCATTACTAAGAATTATCAAAAAAAAATTCATTACAAAGAATTAAAAAATAAATCAAACCTTTTAGTGAATTTTTTAAATGAACAAAACCCAATGTTTTGAAAGAAATGATCTTCTAAGATATTTTTAATTTTTAAAGTACCATCTTAGTGCTAAACAGGACTCCTCAGCCAGCTAAAACTCAAAAAAAGATAAAGGTTTACTACCATTTTCTTTGATTAGAAAAATCTCTATAATACATCAAAATTAGACAAATCAGTAAGCTGGAAGGCAATCAGTATCAAAACTATGCTTTACAAGACCACCAAATTATTAACATTTACTTCCACTATATGATATTATACTTTAAAATGTGGTTTTAACCCCCAAATAGTTGAAGCTCAGAAACAGAAGTCTCTATCAGTCTCACCTTGGTACAGACCACACGTACAACCACTTTCCAAAAGGCAGAAGAATCAGACCCAGGTTGTACCTCAAAGAGAAGATGTTTTTCCTGGCCAGAAGCCACTTTAGCAGTTCTGAAAAGAGACAAACATATTTATTAATTTATGAAAAGTCATATACAATACTAGAGCTATAAAACCAGATTCAAGAAACACAAACAGAGTAGAAAACAAAGAAAACACATAAAGACAAATGATAACCATGACTGTAATAATTAGATTCTTAAAACACAGGAATAGAGAATATTATGAACATAAACACACAACTTAATTTCCAAAGTTTTTAAAGCCAAGAGATTTATGGAGTAATACCTATAAATCTCTCTCTTTTTTTTCATATCTGTATCTCAATTATCTTTAAAGTCCTAAGAAAGATATTTAGGAAAAATAAGTCAAAGAAATTTAGTAACTAAAGAAATAGTCCAGTTTCACTTATCCAAAATCCAAATATTGACTGTTGAGATACATATTGAGAAATATCTTTCTGTTCATTGAGTCCTACTTAAGCAATAACATGAACTCCTCGAAAGTTTTAATTTTATAGACAATCTGGGGAGTGATCAAGTAAAACAAACCCCTTGAGAAACTAAATATGGTTCTATTATCCTCTCCCAGCAGAGTAACTTTGAAAGCCCCTAAAACATAACATGAAAACATAACTCGTTTAAAGAATAATTCAATATACTGTCAATACCAATTTAAATCAGTTCAAAGACATAATTAAACATTGAAGTTTCCATTTATAATTATTAACATTTCTCTCTGAGCATCAGTACGGTAAAGCACATTCAACTAAGTGACTTAGAGCTGAGTACAATGATACCATCAGAAATAAAGCAATTAGACTTAGGAAATAAAGTCTGCCAGTGAAAATAATTCTGTCCTGCCGGTTTTTAGTTCTATTTCCCAGCTACCAAGCCACACTTCTAAATAGGTTTAACTACAGTTGTCAGAGAGCACTCTAACCCACACAAATTGTTTTTTTAAACTTATAGATATACAAATAATGGGTTCATTTTGACATATTCATAAATGTATATAACATAGTTTAATCCACTTCAATCCTTAGTACTACCCCCTTCCCCACAAATTGATTTTAAGAACTAAATCCAGAGGGTGAGGTTGTAGCTCAATGATACAGTGCTTGTCCAGTAGGTTTGAGGCCCTAGGTTCAACCCCTAATACAGCAAAGCAAAAAAATATCAAATCCAGTTAGAAGTGTCCTGTGCTAAATAAAAGAAATATATTCTTTACCATTACTTTTGTATGACACAATAAAGTTGTAGGTGATTTTATAGGACGTATTTTATCCAATATCTTTAGGTCAATAGGCAAAATATTATAGAATAGACAGAGCCTGCACATATGAATTCTAAGACTGAAAAGATGGCAAGTGTTAACCAATCATTCTTACGAGTTGAAACCAAGCAACAAACAAAAAGCACCCTCTTCTATGATACTACTAAATTCTCAATCTTACTTTATTCTTTAAAAATATGGTCACAGAAGTAATGCTTTAAACACTACCATTTGGATGATTAAAAATTTTTAAATATTAGAATTTTTTTAAACCCACAGTACATTTTTATTGTAAAAAAAATCAGACAATACAAAAATATAAAAAAAAATACTTAGTAAAATGTAAAATCTCCCTGCACTGTTTCCTTTTCCAACCATCCCCTAATCCAGAGACAAGCACTGGAATAATTTAGTGCATATTCTTCTAGTTCATTTTCTATATATATTATATTATATCTTTATACAAGTTTTCTTTTTCTTTTTTTATTCTTTATCACTGGCTAGGAACATCCAGCTCCAGTCATATCCATAAGGACAGTATAACATTCTTTCAATAAGTATGTCTCTTATCTAACACATGTCTCTTATCTCACACATAAAGGGAGTAGGTTCATAAATCTAACTCTAAGCTATTTATAGTGACTAAACTACTACAAATTTATATACCAAGTGGTTCTAGACCTACAGGTAATTTTTTTTTTTTTTCCGGTCTCTTTTGGGTTTAAGGAAAAGTAATATGGAATAGTGGAAGGAGTTTCAGACTCAGAGCTGGATTCTCCATAATACTTGGGTAATCAATTTAGGCCTCAGTTAAAATGTCCAACCCTGAGCACAATACTTTGCATGTAATACATGGTCAGTAAATGTTGACTAAATTAAAGAGAGTAAGAGAATCTTTAAGATATTATTTAAGATATCTTATATAAGTTTTAATTATACTCCCAGGGGGATTGAAGATCAATATGTAATGTATATATAATAAAGAAAAGATATATATTAAAATACACATATAATAAAGGGCATATACGAAAAAATATATAAATATATATACATGTGTATATGTGTATATATATATACATATTTATGTGTGTGTGTGTGTGTGTGTGTGTGTATATATATATATATATATATATATATACATATATATATATGAAATAAAAAGAGGTAGAAGTGGGTGCTGGCAACAGAAAGATTTAATAGAAAGAATTGACATCTGCCTACCTGTCACTAAGGGAGAAAACAAACAAGCAGTATTTAAAAATCATAGTGGTCTGGGAACATTCAAGGATAAAAAGACCTGTGTATTTTAAGAATTTCTATACAAATACATATAAAAATTGATTAAAAAAAGAATAAACTCACAAAGAAAAGGCTAAGTTTTATTAGGTGCTTTTTAAGAAGGCAGAGACCTTTATAATCCATCTTAGATAAAAAAAAAATTATTCAAAAGAGCTACGTAGGGCTTTCAAGGTATTAATAATTAGAAAACATGAATAAGCAAAATTTTATTCCTAAGTGATGAAAGTTACCTATCACTATCTATGTATTTCTCTGGCAAAATAACGGCTTAGTAAACAAACACAGAAGGGATACTCTCCCTTCTCCATTCAGCAGAAGAGGCTGATGTACAGAAGACTTTTCAGAGTTACTTCTGACTATCTTAATCTTTCTTTTTAGTGGCTAAATGACATAGTTCCTTCTGTAGGGCACCCCTTTAGTGCTTTCAAACAAGTAAATTTACAGTCTTTTAGTATACAATTACTGAGATGTTAGGATGCATTATATTCTAGAAATGCTTCAATATATCTGTGGCCTGTGTTCCAAATTTCATTTTAAGTTCTTCTTTTCTATTCCCATTATCTACATAGTTATTTTAAAATAACTACACAGGAAGTCTACTTATAATAAAGTCAACAAATATTTGCTAACTGTTGCTGAAAACACTAAATCTTACCAATCAATATCTTTGGTTACTTCTTACACAGCCATGACATATGGTGCACACATGAAGGGGGAAAAAAAATAAAGTGAAAAAGAGCAAGCCTTACACATCATTTAGTTCAGCTACTCTCCCAAGAAATTCTTCATAAGTTAAGGAGCTACTTTCTCGAACCAATATGACGTGTTTTGCTACTTTTTCTGGTAACTTGCTAATAACCAACTGTGTCTGATCCGAAATTTGCTGTCCCATGATGAAATGATGTTTCTTAGAATCCAGAAAGTGTTGCTTCACATAGTTTCTGTCAAATATATAAAAAAGTTACTTTTACACACAACATAAAAATAGTGATATATCCATCCTTCAAATAAAGAAAAACTAGGAAGTAAAGAGTTCAGTAGTTTTATCTGAGTCTAATACAGAATTTTTTCAAATGACTATATTTTCAAGGTTAAGATTTATTTTATTTTTTCAGAATCACATAGGTAAATGAGAAAATGGCATTCACTTATGATAATTTTTATACAAGGGGGCAGTCAAGTAACTGTATTTAATAGGAAACTGTTTATCTTATTTAATTTTCCTAAGAACATTTCCTGAATGCTAACCACATGTCAGACTCCAAACTAAGTGCTTTCCATATATCATTTATTTATTACATCCTTTGAGGTAGATGTTATCATATTCCTGTTTTATAGATACAGAAATGGAGCCAAGTGTTATATAAAATGTATAGTACAGAGTGCAAGTGAACTTTGTACAGGGTGGAAGTGAACTTTGAACTCCTTTTTCATATTCTAATGCTCGAACACATTCTTAAACACTATGATACACGGGCTCCTGATAAAATTATATCAGCTTAAATCTTTTATTTATCAATATGCAACTTATTTGTAATTTAAAATACATTAAATTAAATAAGCTTTTTGGCTTAAAATATTTAATAAAATGAAAATGTTAAGATAATTTAACCATCTCACAATTTCTGCTTGGGGGGGAAAAGAGAGCTCTTTTGCTCTTCAATTCTGCAAGGTATTTTTAATTTAGAATTTATGTAATTTGTTTTCTTTTTTTTTTTTTTTTAGAGAGATGTGAGAGAGAGAGAGAGAATTTTTTAATATTTATTTTTTAGTTTTCGGTGACACAACATGGTTGTTTGTATGTGGGCTGAGGATCGAACCCGGGCTGCACGCACGCCAGGCGAGCGCGCTACCGCTTGAGCCACATCCCCAGCCCTGTAATTTGTTTTCTAAATATGAATATTTTTAGTTAAAAGGCCAGATCACTACTAATAATCTATTATAAATATTATAAATATAGAGTAATAATTCATTGAATTGGCTTTAAAATTTAACCACAAAACATTTATATAATAATCACGTACTCTAAAATCTTGAAAGATATAACCCTATGTATTGTGGCTACAGAAGAGTTGGAAGTGTTTATTCTAGAGAGTTCTTTTCCTTTGGTAAATAATGATTGAACAGAATACCAAGTTAAAATTAAGCTAAATTTTAGTATTTGTCTATGGTCATGTATTCAATAACTACATGTGATATTCCTACTCAATACAAATACTATTAATAATAGTAAAAGCAGTTCACATTTGTTGATCACTTCCATTGTATAACACATACTTCTAAACACTTTACATGTATTCATAGATTCAGTCATTTAAATTCCTAGAATAACCATTTTATGGATGAAGAAATAAGACAGTGAGGAAACAAGCGATTAAAGTAACTTGCCCAAAGTCAAAGAGCTAGTATTAATTTTTTCTTAGTTTTTAAAAACAGATAAGAAATGAAAAATGAATAATAATTTTTAAAAATATGATCTCTGAGGAAATTCTATTTCATGTACCCATTAAAGACTATCATTTTATTTCACAAATTAACATCCATACCATATAAAGTAGATGAAACGGGAAAACTTTTCATAGGAAAAGTTTTGTCAGGAAATTTATTTCATCACTTAATGAAAATGAAGTTATAGCTTTAAATATAAAATGTAGTTTTAAAATATAAAGTAAGTAGTCCTAAGTGTGCAAAATTTGCTTCTGGTATTAAATTCTAATGCACTATATTTGAGGTTTATTCTCTAAGTTATCTTAAATATAGGAAGTGTACAATTGTCAAAAACATACAAGTGCTATTTTGAATCTGAGCCTACTTGGCAACAATATTATAATATTAGATAGAAATGAAAAGACGTTGATGAGGAAGATCCAGGTAACTAAAAACAAACAAAAAAACTCTGAAGGTAAAAATTACATTTTAAAATATGACCAACTAGATTTATAGCAACTATGTCCAAAGAGAAACAAGTAAAGACACTAACTTTGAGGGGGAATGTCTAGAGCATTCATCATCAGTGATTTCTGAGTATTACAGACTAGTATATGTACCATGGGGTCGCATAATTCTTTTTAGTCTAAGTAATCTAAATATAAACAAAAAAGAAACCTCAAAAATTGAATAGTAGGATATAACATTAGAATAAAAGTCCTTTTTAAGAAAGACAGTGACTCGGGCTGGGGATGTGGCTCAAGCGGTAGCGCGCTCGCCTGGCATGTGTGCGGCCCGGGTTCGATTCTCAGCACCACATACAAACAAAGATGTTGTGTCTGCCGAAAACTAAAAAATAAATATTAAAAAAATTCATTCTCTCTCTCTCTCTCCTCTATCTTTAAAAAAAAAATTAAAAAAAAGAAAGTGACTTCACCCTAATGTTCAAAATATATATGTACACACATTAAAATGATATATTGTCCTTATTTTTCTTGTTCTAATTCAAACTTGTGAAAGCAATATCAGGAACTAATGGTTTCAGACCAGCATTAGGCATCCACTGACTTACATTATCTTTTTAAAAATTAAGCTTAACAAGTACCATGTGCTTGGTGCTTATGCTCCAGGGATATGACAGAGAGCAAAAGAAACACGGTTCTTGTCATCAAGGAGCAAGAGACATTATTCACACAGGTAAGTATAAAATAACAAAAATGAGAAATATTAAGCCAAACAAGTGCAGGTGCTATGAAAGTCTATACAAGAAGGACCTGATCTAGTCCTGTGTGAGGAAAGAAGTTCCTGGGAAAATATTTTGAGTTCAGGACAGTCAGAATTAGTAAGAAAAGAGGGGTGGTGCATGGTGACAGCAGGGTATTCCAGGCTGAAGTTAAGGAAAGTGCCTGAGATAGGAAGGATCATGGGGTCTTTGAGGTAATTTTTTAAAAACCAAAGTAACTAAAGCAGAGAGACTAAGGGAAAGGGAGGCTGGCACCAAAAGATGGGCTGTTTAACATTTTTATTGATGACCCGAAGACAAGACTGCATGACTGTCTAACCTGCAGATGATCAAAATTGGAATAATATCCAAAGAATCAAGATTAAAATAGATACCGACCTGCTGAAATTAAAATTGTTTAATACAGCACAAAGTTAAATATCAACTGAAAAAAAAAATCTAGGTAAGATGCACCCAATTAAGCAGTTAAAAATATATAAAAAAAAAAGTTAATCAAAATAATCAAGAGTGTAATAGGGACACCAAAGACGCTAAAATAATCTTAAACTCTTGCTAGAAGCAGATGTCCAGAACAAGAAACCTAGTCCCATTGTGCTCTATAATGGTTTGACCACAATGAAGGTCTACATTCAGCTCTAAGTAGTCAGAGGGTACTAATAAATTAGAATATATTCAAGATGTTACAGGTCTAGAAAAGGAAACAAAATGATTTATTCTAGTATGGCTTGGTAACCCAGAGCAACATGATTGGTTTGCTCAAATATTTTAGGAGCTACCATGTAAAAGAGGAAGTAAGATTTATATTATAGTTACAAAGAGCAGAATGGTCAAAAAGTATAAATTAGAGGCAAATTTCAGTTGAGTGTAAGAATGTCTTACCATCCAGAAGTGGAAATGGGTGATGTATGTGAGCCTCTTCGCTGAAGTTTGAAGTGTTTAATTAAAATGAGAAGTTCATCTATTGACTAACAGATTCTTCTTGGGTGGGAAGTAGAGTAGGTGACCTTGAACCTAATATTGAGAGTTTTCCAAATGAAACTTAAACTTCTTCTAAATTTCCTGTACCAACTTAATAAAAATGTGATAATACTCTAATCAATCAATTGGAAACGGAGACCCAAGAAATGCACAGACCAAAGTAGGGCTAAAAGTTTAAATGCTGCTTTGGATCAAGAGTAGTAATTTGTGAAAAATATGATGAAACAAAGGATTTGGGGCTACAGCAGCTAATTGTGGAAAAGTGAGAAAATAAGAGTTACTTTAAGGTTTGGTTGTATAGCTTTCTCTCAGCTTTGATTGCCCATGTCTGATGTTAAGAATGTCTTCCTTTCCCTGGTACAGGGAGAGTACCTTTACATTGGGTTTTATCTTCTGCTTTCAGGAAGAAAAAGGAAGGTAGAGCGCATTTCTTAAACCTCTACTTTTTAAGTGCCTATAACCCCAAATAATCCTTATACCAAAGTGGCATATTTTGCTACATTGATCACCAACATCTACTTACAAGGAAGCCTTAGTTGCTTGTTTTTTGAGTTAGAAAATGTTTCCCTTTGTTTCTTCATCTTTTCAATCTGGTGTTCTAACTTTGAATGATAAAGTTTATAATCTCAGGCAACATATTAACTTGTTTTTTTGTAATTCACTTGGTATCCAGGAAACCTCATCATTTGACTCCTTAGATTAAAATACAACAGTATTTAGCCAAGATAGCTGGAATAGTGATTCTCAATCTGGTTTAGGAGAAAGATCCCTGAATTCACAGTTTATTTTGAAAACAATAAAATATTGCTAAATATTAATGTCTAATACTAGCCTAAAAATATATCTGTTATTTCTATGTAATATAAGACTTCAACCAAGAATAAATGTTCACAAAGACAATCTGTTGAGGCCATCCTTTAGTCACTAGCCACAGCTTTTTCAGTATCTATCTTTGGTATTTTACCCATTTTTTGTCATATATCATCAGTTAAGTCACTTACCCATTCCCCTCCATGAGCTGCTTCAGGATAAGAGCTAAGTTCTCTCTTTTAGAAAATACATAGGTACATACTGTTTTCTAAATGAATGCAATAAATACTGTTGACAGCTTTTGTTTTTTTAATTATTCACTGAGTAATTCCTTTGACTTTTGTTAATTTGTCCAGTCATCTAGTAATGACTTGGAGATAAGTAGAAGTTAAAAACCCATATGGAAGAAAATAACACAAAACTGTAAAACCTTATCATTGATGTTTATATAAAATGGGAAACATTCACTATTTGAAATTAACAAAATACCTCTAAATCATTAAACAATAGTATTGCATAGGAACTTAATTTGCAAACCACTGGCATAAAATTCAGCAAAAAACCACAAACCTGTAGTCAAGATTTCTCAAAGAACTAACAACTCTCAAAACTACTTTGTCACTTTTAACATAGTCCTTTCTAGCAAGATAGAAATGTGCTTTCAGAAATATTTGAAGGTTTTTCTAGATAAAGAACTGTTATTTTGAAACTCAAAAGCTCATCAAGGATTCCAAAAATGCCATTCTCTAGTGGGTGGTACAGTTGATCACTTCTTTTTCTAACAAATGAACTGTTGTAGTTCAAATATTTCTTATAAAAATATAACAACCACATCATGGCTAATTGGCACACACACACACAAAGATACCCCAGAACCAAAAACCCAAATCAAAACCAAAAGTCCACAAAAACTCTCTGCAAATTTAAACCACAATCCATTCATAAAAGGATTAAAGCAAACCTGAAAGTGCAACAAAATGACTGACTAGTTGACAAGTAATGAAACATTTAGAAAACCTCTCTGAAATTTGTTCTCTATCAAATTAACTTGCAAAAGATACTTATAATTGAAATGATCATCATCTATTTTCATGCCAACTTTAATCTCAGTAATAAGTACTAAGTACTACAAGTAGTTCCCTAAGGAAACTGACACTTATTGCTTAGTCAAACTCTACATCTCTAAGCAGGTCTCAACCACATTTCAAGATAGAAAATTAACACAGATACATAGTGGGACAATTAGCTAGTCAGAGTCATTAGAGTTTGGAATAGCTATTCTGGGATGAAAGATTTTTCCATATATTTTATTGGTGCATTACAATTATACATAATAATGGAATTTGTTACATATTTGTATATGCACACAATTCAACAACATGATTTGGTCAATATATGTCCCTAGTATTTCCCCTTTCCCTCTCCTTCTCTGGGCCCTGATGCCTTTCCTCTACTGGTCTAGGACTAATGACCTTAATCAGAAAAAAGAAAAAGAAAGAAAGAAAAATCCCCACTACCACAACAAAAACTATCTATAAAACAATCTTGAGAATTAGTGGATTTCTAATAGCATCAATGTGTTTACTAAAAACTTTTCATATTTAGAAAAACACACTACACTTGCAAGAATTCTGTGTGGATCTCCCAAGTCTTTTGGGGAAAAGGAGGAGAAAGGAAGTGTGTATTTAGATAAAAACCAAGAGGGATAGAGTGACAAAGAATTAACATATTTTTGAAAAATACAATCATATTCTGGAGGACAATATTTAGCAACTGAAGTCAGGCAGCATAAAGGAGAAAATTCCATACTATTTTTGAGTTCTGATTTCAAAAGGCACCACTTTTCTCAGAGGAATGTCTACAATATAGAGGACACTACTTCAGGATCTTTTGTAGCTCAGGCCCCAGGCAAATTCTGAACAGCTGAAGCTCACTTTACAGCCACAAGAATGCTGGGAGGTGAGTGGTAATGATAAACTTCTGCTGAGGTGTAAGAATTACAAAGAATTGGAGGTGCTACTGCGGCTTCGTAAATACACCAGAGGAAATAAATGAATGTTGGGCACTGTAAAACAGGACAGGATCAGAATATGACAGTGCCTATTTAAGGAAGTTGGGGCTATATTTCAACAACGATAGCAAATCCACATTTTATAACACGTCACAAATAACTGAAGAGGGAGTTTCAAAAACTAACAGGGGTTTCTTTCCCTTCTGTGTAATCACTACAATTATTATTAGCAAGGAAACTACCCCTCCTGCGCTGGGTCTCAAGGTAGCAGCTAGTTTGACAATCAAAGGCCTTAGGCTTTGGGTGTGCTAAGAACGACTTGGCTTTCCTGAGCTGAAGCCCCAAGTAAAGGGTTTCTCCTCAGGAGAGTGCCACTCGGCGAGGCGCAGCCCCGCGCGCGGTCCTGGTGCGGGCGCCCGCTCTCCGCCTCAGCCCCTCCTCAGTGCACCTGCACTTGTAACCAACAGCTAAAACGGGAGGCCGACTGACTGCGCCGGCGGCAATATTCAAAAAAACGATTCCGGGCTCCAGGAGGAAAACCTTTTCTCCCGGACTCCCGGACCCACCTCCAAAGCGGGGCAAGCACCTCACCCTGGGCACTGGAAACGGCCGGGTGAAGATCGGAGTACACCGAAAGGCCTCCCAAGCCAGCCCCGCGCCCCAAGTCCAGGCCTGGAAAAGGCCTAGCTCCCCGAATTCCCGCTCGGCCGTCGAGGCCTTATCGGGGTTTCTACTTCCTGCTCGAGGGGCGTGGAGCAGCTAAGTTGGGATACGGCAAGAGGACAACGCAGCGGAGCTCACCCAAGTTCAAGGCATCGCGCTCCAGGCGTCAGCGACGCCGCCTCGGCCCCGGGCTCAGACCAGCAAGCAGCGGCTCGGCGGCCGACCAGGTCGCACCTCAGTGACGCGAGGCCCCGCCCCCCGGCGCGTTGCCTGGAGACGGTGCTCCGATCTTTCCCCGCCCGGCTTTGCCCCACCTCTCCCGGCTCCCAGCCCAGAGGTCTGAGCGCCGCGAACCTGCTTAAGCTTCTGCGGTTGTGACTGCCCAGGCCTAAGACTCCGAAGCACCGAAAGCCTGACAGGCTGCTCCAGGCACGGGTCCGTGGGGTAGTCTCGGGGACTGCCTGGCCGACTCTCACCTCCGCAGCGGAGGGAGGCAGCACTGCGAGTCCCGGGTTTGGTCGAGGGTTGGGTTCCAGGCTATCACTTCTCCCTGGGATCACAGGAGAAGACTCCCTTCTTGTTCCGATTACAGCTACACAAAGATCATCTCCTTCCTCCATTATGAAATGGGGTCGATCATGGTCACCTGGCTGGGTTGTTCAGCGTGAAGGAGAACGTGTGGAAAGCATCAAGCTTTATAAGGAACACATGTGGGCGATATCACTGCTTTTCAGAACATTTTAGTCAATAATTGATGTCCATTAAGCATGTGTTGTTGTGTTTCAAATACTGCACGAAGGCATTTTTACAGGCATCACTCTTGTTTAAGTAGTTTGCTCAAAGTTATACAGGCAGTAAACAGCAGAGCAAGGATTTAAACCGAAGTATGGCTGATACTACTGTCTCTATGCCTAGCAGCTAAATTAATGTTTGGGCGCCTGAATCCTTTCATCAGTCATTTGTAGATTTACTAGGTAAGGAACTGACTCTGTTTGTCCACCATTGTTTCCCTGACAATCAGCACAGCGCCTAGCTTGCTGTTCAAAGTTTGACTACTTGATAAATATGTGAACACTGGGAAGGCAAAAAACTTAAGACTGAAATTATTAAAAATATTGAAATTAATGATTTGGTAAATAAAAAGAATATTTAATTTGCTGAGAGCCATAGCCAAGTAGGAATGATGCATGGCATTTTGGGTTGAAAGGTGACCCTGCTCAGGGATTAGGGTGGCTCGGGGTTTAGGGTGGATCCTGCTGGGAATAGGGCGCCTCAAGATTAGGACGGATCCTGTTGGGATTAGGGCGTATCCTGCTGCCTAAGGCGCCCGCTCCTTTGGAGTTCCCCTGGAGTTCTCTCCGGGTTCTGAGAGAATTGGTGCGCGGAGCAGTGTGGAGGCAGGGTGTTCACGGGTAGTGTGTGTAGAGTGTCGGTGAGAGTTCCGGAATAAAGAGTTGCTGTTTGAATCTACAAGGCTGTGTGGTGGCTCGGTTATTTTGTGCCCAGACAGACTGCAGCATTAATTGAATTCAACAAGTTCTATATTTCAGCCAAATCTGGGCCTGGGAGTTAGAAATAATACTAAAAATTGCCTTTCATTGCCAAATGTTTTCTCTAATATGCAGATACTAATTCACAATAAGTGGGGGCACTAGGGAAGAAGAGCATTATCTTTAGGTAGAGGGAAGTGATGGGAGGGAAGGGGAGGGGATGTGGGCATAGGAAAGATATTAGAATTAAACGGACATTACTGTATGTATATATGTGACTGCATGACCATATGATTCTGCAACATGTACACTCAGAAAAATGAGAAATTATATCCTATCTATGTATGATATATCAAAGTGCATAAATGCATTCTACTATCATGTATAACTAATTAAAACAAATAAGGGGCTGGGGTTGTGGCTCAGCAGTAGAGCGCTCACCTTGCATGTGTGAGACCCTGGGTTCCATCCTCAGCACAACATAAGAATAAGTAAGTGAAATAAAGGTGTGTGTCCAACAACAACTAAAAAATATTTTTAAAATAAATAAATTTAAAAAAAATTAAAAAATAAAGACACTTAAGGGACACATAAAAAAATTGCCTTTAAACATTGCATTGTAGATTCTAGTCAGTGTAATAAAACAAGACTAAGAGATAAAAGGCATCCAGGCTTAGAAAGAAGATGTAACAATTTTCATTGGCATAAGAAAATACTATATTGGGACTGGGGATGTGGCTATTGGGGCTGGGGATGTGGCTCAAGTGGTAGCACGCTCGCCTGGCATGCGTGCAGCCCAGGTTTGATCCTCAGCACCACATACTGTAAGGGTCCGGCGAACGTCAGAGGAAGAGACCACCAAGAGACCGGCTCATGCAAAAGCAAGTGGGGTTTATTGAGGATCCAATCCAGCGCGCTGGGGCTCTGTGCTCACTCAAGAAGGGAGAGCAGCCCAGAGCCCCGAGCAGGGGCTGAGCACTGCTTAAGTACACTTTTTGGGGAGTGCGGGGACTTCACATACATCACAGTCTCCTTCAACAAATCACCATACACCGCTGGAAAATCAAACAACAACTCCTAAACATGATTAGTTCATTCATTGGCGGGAACAGGTCGGGCGGGAGTGATAGGTCAGTTCTAAGGAGGGAGGTACATTCAAACTGATTGGTTTAGGCCCTGCTATGTCTACGTGCAAAGTCACACAGGATCCTAGGTTATCAAACAACCAGGCGATCAGGGGAAATATTTACTGGGCGGTTCCAAGTATTGTCTTAACAGCTACAGGAATTTCAGGTTTTGCGTGTAGCATAGGAACTTAACAATACCTGGTCCTTTACATTTTAACTCAGGCCTTGCAGCTTAGAAACTTTACAATGCCCGGTCTTTTACACTTTAACTTCAATTTCTTTTACCCTTACAATACAAACAAAGATGTTGTGTCCACTGAAAACTAAAAAATTCTCTCTCTCTCTCAAAAAAAAAAAAAAAAAGAGGAAGAAAATACTATAGATCATGAAAATAGAAGGGAGACCATTAGAATAGATGAAAGGGACCAGGGGGAGGGAGAAGAAGAGGGAAAGGGAATGAAATTGACCAATTTATATTGTGTACATGTACAAATATGTAACAATAAATTCTAATATGTATAGTTATATACATTAATTAAAAAAAAGAAAATACTATGGAATTCTACAAAAAAAAGCTACTAGAACTTAGCTTTTTGCTTAGTAGAAGTTGCAGGACATAAAGTCAATATATAAAATCAGTTGTTTCTATAAACTAGCAATGAGCAATTAGAAATTGAAAAATTTTTAAATGTCATTTAGTAGTAAAAATGTGATATACTTAGGGACAAATTAAGACCAAAGATGTGACATACATACTGAAAACTACAAAAACTTGCTGAGATAAATTAGAGACATAAATGAATAGAGTTACATAGTTTTTGAGTTAGAACAGTCAATATTTTAAAGATGTCATTCCTGTCTAAGTTGATCTAGAGATTCAAGGTAATTCCAGTAAAAATCCTCACAGGCTATTTTATGGAAATTACCAAGCTAATTAAACAATTTATAGGGAAATGCACAGAACCTAATATAGCCAAGACTTTGACCAAGTGTGAGGATTTACACTATCTGCTTTCAAGAGGTGTTATAAGAACTATGGCAATCAACACAATATGGTATTTGTGTAAAGATAGACAAAGAACAATGGAACAAAACAGAACCCAAGATACATCTATACATATGCAGTCAATTGATTTTCAACAAATATATCAAAGAACTTTAATGGGGAAAACGATAATCTTTTCAACAAATGAAGCTGGGAAAATTGGATAGCATATGCCAAGCTAAGGAGTCTAGATCCTTTCCTCATATCATACAAAATTAACTAAAATGTATCATAAATCTAAATATAAGAACTGAAATTACAAAACTAGAAGAAAATGTAGGAGGAAAATCTTAACGACCTTGGATTTGGCAGAGATTTCTTTTAAAAGTCACAAAGAATATAAGTTATATAAAAGAAAAAAATTGATAAATTGCACTTCATCAATATTAAACACTTCTGCTTTTCAAAAGATTGGTAAGAAAATGAAAGGGCAAGCTGAAGATTTGGAGAAGAAAGTACTTGAAAATATATATTTGACACAGGATTTCTATCTAGACTCTAAAAGAATTTTACAAATCAATAAGCCACTCTAACTTTTTTATATGGAGGAAGATTTGAAGATCATCTAGGTTTATGACAAAAAGATAAGTGTTAGAGTCTGTAAACAAGTCAAAATAACACCTGGCATTTTGCCAGGGGAATGTTAGAGTTCATAAACAAGTCTGGATGGTGCCTGGCAAAATGCCAGAGGGAGTGGTTTGAGAAGTAACAAAAGCGAGCCATTAAGTGTGGAGATTCCTTATTGGTTGACTGATGTATCTAGTTTATGCTAATTAGATAAGCTGTGTGGAATGTATAAATACTGCTCCTGTCCTGCAATAAACGGCTCCTACTCCTGCTGTATCAATGCACACAAGTTGTTCGTCACCCCTCGGTTATTTTGCTGCAGCCGGACTGCGGCAGATAAGTACGTGAAAAGATGCTCAACATCATTAATAATTGGGAAAGTGAAAATTAGAAGTGCAATGAAATATCACCATAAACACTAGCCAATAGAATGGTTAAAATTAAAAAGCCTGATTGTATCAAATGTTGACAAGGATGTAGAACAACTGAAATGCTAGTATATTGCATGTTGGGAATGTAACATGCTAACCGTTTTAGAAGAAAATTTGGTCGTTTAAAAAAAAAATCTATACATACATCTACCACATGACTCAGCCATTCCACTCCTAAGCATTTATCTAAGAGAAATGAAACCATGTATCTACACAAAGACTTTTACATAAATATTCATGCCATTTTTGTTAATAGGGCTACACTAGAAACAACCCAGATGTGGAGTGTGTGTGTGTGTGTGTATGTGTGTGTAGAAAAATAGTGGAAAACCATCTCATATCTACACAATGAAATATTACTCAGCAATAAGAAAGAATGGTTATAGCAACAAAACAAACTATACTGTGTGATCCAAACTGTTAATGATAAAAACAAATCAGTGGCTGCCTAGGGATGGGGTGGGTAGGGAAAATGATGAGGAAATGGTAGGTAGAGTTGGGTGGCAGGATGGTATTATAAAGGAGGAAATTTTGGAGGGTGATGGATTTGTTCGTTTTCGTGATTATAGGTCACAGTTTCACAA